GATCACTCACGGCGGCGATGGGCGGCGATCGGCGGCGACAAGGTGATGACGATGACCGGAGATATATATAAAGAAACGCTCGCACTGACCTCACAAATAATTTAAGAAGGATTGAAATATCGCATTTGAAAAGCAACCCTCTAGGGTTTCAACCACGACTGATCCAAGCGATGTTGAGAAACCGACGGATCCACCGGTCTATCCCCCAGACCCATTCCCAGAACTCGCTAAAGCAAACTCGCCTCAGATGCTCAGCTCTCGGTCACTGAAGAAACAACGCTCCTCGAAGGATTTAATGCCCGAACATCAAGATAAGCCCACAGAAACCATTATCCCGCGAACTACGCAACAAGAACCAATTGCCAAGAAAACACCTCCGTTAAGCTTTCGAGATACGCTGACAAAAAATCGCTCCCATGTTGTTATTGAATCTGATGATGAGGAGGGTGAATTAGACAATGACGTTACGGTGGATTTCAATGGACCAACCCCTAATATATGGATAAAAGATAGCTTCTATGATGCTCGAATAAAGGCGTTTAGCAACGTGGTAGTAGTCAAGCTACTTGGCTAAATATTTGTAAGGAAACGTTGTATGTGAAACTAGTAGAAATTTGGCCTTTCATGACTGGTTGCCCTATTATTGATGCTGAAAATGGATAATTTCTGATACAATTCCGGACACATGAAGATGCAATTTCGGCGCTGGTCGGGGGACCTTGGATAGTGAGAAAACATTACCTCCACGTCCAACCATGGGAATAGTCATTTGATGGTGCTACGAATGAAATACGTTCCACGATCGCTTGGATCAGACTGTCGGGGATGCCGATAAACCTGTATCATAAGAAAATTTTTCGTAATGTGGGCCACATTGTGGGGAAGGTGGTGAAGATTGATCATCAAACGGCCAACCAGTCGCGTGGTAAATTTGCCCGGATGGCAGTCTCTTTAGACTTGACAAAGCCATTATGTACTTAGTTCGCGATACGGGGAAAACCACAACAGGTACAACACAAGATGCTACCGGATATATGCTACACATGTGGGAGGTGTGGACATATGTCAGTCGCATGTCCTAGTCGGCCAACCGAAGCCACAAAAGCAAGCTTCGGGGGTCAAGCATACCCCAAGGAATCATCGGAAGGTGCAAAGAGGAAAGGATGGGGCAACACTCCCACGACAGATAGTGGGGTAGGTAAAAACAGTGAGCAACAATTTGGGCCATGGATGAGGGCAGACAAAGGGGGGATGGCAACAATATCCGGGCAAGAAGAGGACATGAGTAAACGCTCCTAAACATAGAGAGGTTGTGCATGAAAATGGCTCCAGGTTTGCTGCTCTAGCGGAAAGTAATGGGGAAGAGAACTTAGTCCAGGAGGTTCCCCCGACCATGGGGATTGTATTTAAAGAACACGATAAAGAAAATAGTGTGATTGACTCTCAAGTGATATTATTCCAAGCGGTGCGACAGAAGGGCTCGAGAGACACAACTAAGGGATCTAACGAGTGGCAAGTAGTTGGGGCCAAAAAAGGAAAAAATGGGCAAGAAAAAAACAGAAAAGCCATGGGCAAAGGGGAAGTCGGGTGTGCTACTGGTAATACCCAAGGCGGGCATCAAAAGGGGGAGAATGGGCTATGTCATGACATTATACCATATGTTTCCAATAGTGGACTGGTCCAAGTAGAGGTGTTGGAGCGAGAGAACAATATGGAGCTCAGTAAGATGGATGTTTCTCAAGTGATCATTCCCGTGACATCTGGGTTGGTTCCAATGTGTCATCGAGTAGTTCAAATCTTTGAGAACCCTACCCAATCAACTCGGAGTGAAAATAAAGTGGACTTGCTTGACCTGAGGGATCAAGCTCAATGGAAACCGTCGGACGCTCACAGTTTAGGCAGCTCGGTTGAGAACTGAACTTGTGATAAGGATGATGAGGATCACATGACGGAAGACGGCGCTTCGACCTCTCAGGTCCCTAGTTCTCTCTAATAAGTGGAAGTCCTTTTCGCATTAGTTTTATTAATGAATATAATTACGTGGAATGTTCAAGGAGCGGCCTCGGATGCTTTCTTCCGAGCCTTCTCTAATATCAAAAGTCATTACTATCCAGACGATTTTGCTATTTTTGAGCCCCAAATCAGCCGTGCTAATGCGGACAAATTTATTAGAATAAGTGGCTTTGCTCGCTCCTTCAAAATTGAAGCATCCGGTTTTCCTGGAGGAATTTGGTTATTGTGGCGGGATAGAGTGCATGTCGAAATTCTCAAGTGCCATCGCCAATATGTCCATACTTGGGTGTTCAAGGATGGTAAGGCAGTACTGGTTACGTTTGTGTACCTAGTCCTAACCCCAAAATTCGATGCTTGCTTTGGCCAGACTTACAAAGGTTAGACTCGAGAGTAACAGATCTGTGGCTTATTGGCAGGGACTTTAATTGTATTCTTAAGCCTTCTGAACGATGTTGTGGTTCGCCAAACCGCTTTAATATTTGTCAGGATTTTTCTGCATGGCTCTCTAACTGCGAGCTTCACGAGGTCCGAACGAATGGTCTTTCATTCACCTGGGAAAGAGGAAATTTAAAGCAAAAGCTAGATCGGTTTGTAGCAAATTCGTTTTCGATGACTAAGTTCCAACTGGGATTAGTCCAGCATCTACCCCAAACCAGTTTGGATCACTTCCCACTACTGGTTGAATGTGCGATTTTTCAACCATCATCACCTCAAACAAAGCCCTTCAAATTTCTCGCTTCATGGATTTTGAATGACGAGTTTTTTGATCTCGTGCGCCAATCTTGGGCTGGCCGGGACTACTTTGAAGCCACTAGATCATTCCAGCAACAGGCGACCAAGTGGAACTATCAGGTTTTCGGGAATATATTTTCCGGAAATAAAAAAAACTGCTCAGAAGAATAGTTGGAGTATGAAGGGAGCTACAAAAATATACGACGACAAGGCTGGTAAATTTGGAAGCGTTGTTGTATAAGGAGCTAGACGAGGTATCTTTACAAGAGAAACTTCTAATGCTCTAAAAATCGCAAAGGGATTGGACTCTTTTGGAGATAGAAATACCGCCTACTATCATCGTAAAGTCAAATGTCATCGTAGTCGCAATAAGATTCTATTCTTCAAGGATCCGAGTGGTACTAGGGATGCGATGAAATGAAGTCGTTAGAGGTAAATTTTTTTCAAGATGTATATACAATAGGGAGGTCGAGCTCGACACCAAGCATTCCAAATTTGTTTCCTCAGATTGATCATCAACTGCTAACGCCTATGACTCGTGAAGTTGGGTCGTCGAAAATATTTTCAGCGTTGAGCGATATGAAGCCACTCAAAGCTCCAGGACCTGATAGGCTTCACGCATTATTTTTTCAGATGCAGTGGGCCAGCGTTGGCAGTCTACATGCGACTTAATTTATCGTGTGTTTCGTGGTGTCATAGTGCCGACGAGTTGAGTAGAACTCTTTTGGTACTTATCTCCAAGGTGAAGAACCCCGACTCAATAAAGAGCTTCCGTCCGATCAGTCTCCTCAATGTAGTCTACAAGCTTATCACTAAAGTTCTAGTAAACCGAATGAAACCGACACTTCTTTTGCTAATTGGAAATGCCTAGTCCAGCTTCGTCCTAGATCGCCAGATAACGAATAATATTATGGTCGCCCAAGAGCTTATTCATCCTATGCGTACTAAGACGGGCCAGAAGGGATACATGGTAATTAAAGTGGACCCGGAGAAGCGTATGACTACTTAAACTGGGATTTTATTGAAGAATCTTTGCACTTGGTTGGGTTCCTAGTCAGTGTGGTGCGAACTATCATGGCATGTGTTACTTCATCATCCATGCAACTCCAATTTAATGTGGAATTAAGCGACTGTCTTTTTACCATCCAGAGGCGTGCGTCAGGGGGATCTCATGTCGCCATATTTATTTTTGATATGTATTGAGAGGTTAGCCCATTTAATCCAAGCTCGAGTTAGTGATGGCTTGTGGAGACCGATTCACGTGGGGAATGGGGAGGTGCGGGTACCGTATTTGATGTTCGCTGATGACTTATTGCTCTTCCTTGAGGCGTCAGAGGATCAAGGTTATTTAGCTAAAGAAGTTCTTAAAAGAAATTGTTCACAGTCGGGTCTAAAGGTGAGTCGCTCCAAGATAAATGCTTAGTTTTTAAAAAAATGTTCCCCAGGAGCGTAAACAGAGATTGGCATCACTGTTGTAGATTGTCTTGGTAAGTATCTTGGTGTCCCTATTATACATGTCCGAGTCACAAAGTATACTTACACTAATATTGTTGCCAAAGCCGACTCTCGTCTGGCGGGGTGGAAGGCTAGTTCATTATCCTTGGTAGGAAGATATGTTCTAACCCAATCGGTTGTGTGTACGTTGCCGTATTTTACTATGCAGACAACATGGCTTCCATCTTCGATTTGCGAGGGCCTGGAAAAAAGGTGTAGGACTTTTCTGTGGGGCGGGAATTGGAGTCAAAGAAAAATCCTCCTTGTATCATGGGAGTCGGTATGTCGAAGTAAAGAGTCCAGTGATGGGATTAAAGCGACAACGGGAGATGAATATGGCCCTTTTAATGAAACTAGGATGGTCCCTTTTGACAAAGACGAATATTCTATGGGTTCGTCTTATCGTGGCCAAATACAAGCTTAATGTCGCAGAGAATGGAGAGAGATTTACCATTTTTAAGGGCTCTACGGTGCTAATGGCAATTAGTAAAGTGTGGCCAAATCCCGGAGAACCAATGGCAACTAGTCGACACCCTTATATATGCTCGCGACGGGGCCAATCCTGGAGAACCAATGGGAATGGCCTATAGCCGAGTTTGTGGCGGAGACGGGTGCATGGAATTGGGCCAAAACCACATTTTAATTATAATTATAACATATTTCATACACACTTGTTAGGCTTGGATACAAAGAATTTTTATTCTTGGCCCAATACTTTTATAAATTATGAGCTATGTCTAAGCATTTTTCAGACACGCACGGAGTCACCCGAACAGTGCCCGAAATTTGACTAAAAAATGCTTTGAAAATGGAAGAAATAAATATTTCTGAGTAATTCCAAATCTCTGTTTCTATTTTTTCTTCCCACCGGCTCTGGAGTTGCCATTGTTTCACTCATTCATCATCAGTAGCTGTGAGGGAGCTAATTCTAAGCACATCGATGCAGCGGCCGCCCAACGAGCCCTCCTCGGCCACATGGGACTGCATGCTTCCGGGGCCGCCCTCCAAGAACAACGGCGGATCTGCCGACCTCTCCGCCGCTGGCCTCCTCGCCTACGCCGCCGGCAGCTCGGTTGCTGTCGTCGACACCCATTCCATGCAACTGGTCGCTACCCTCCCCCTCCCCCCGCCACCCTCCGCCGCCGCCTCTCCTTTCATCACCGCCGTGCGGTGGTCTCCTCTCCCCCTCCCCCACCACCTCCTAGAGAGCGAGAACACCTCCCCGCACCTCGTTCTCTCTGTTGGCGACCGCCACGGACGCATATCTCTGCTTGATTTCCGCTCCAGAGCTCCCATTCTCTTCTTCGACACAAATTATCCCAATTCTTCGAAATTAGGTATCCAGGATCTGTGCTGGATCCAGACCCGACTCGACATTTGGGCCCTTGCCGCCATTTCAGGACCCTCTTTGCTCTCCATCTACAACACCGCCACTGGCAGGTGCTTCTTCAAGTACGACGCCTCTCCAGAGTTCTTCTCATGTCTACGCCGTGATCCCTTCGATTCCCGCCATTTCTGTGCCCTGGGACTCAAGGGATTCCTGCTGTCCGTTAAGTTGCTGGGTGATGATTCTGAAAGCGATGTTGTACTGAGGGAGCTTCAGATTCCTATGGACACCTCGGAATTGCAGAGGCTGGAGCGAGATTCCTCTGGCAGCAGTGGCAGTAACAATGGGGCACCGGCCTCTGCCGTTTTTCCCAATTATGTGGTGAGATTTGCATTCTCACCACACTGGAAGCATGTGATATTGGTTGGATTTCCGAGAGAGCTGGTGTTGTTTGACTTGCAATATGAATCAGTGTTGTTCGCAGGGGGCCTGCCGAGGGGCTGCGGCAAGTTCTTGGAGGTGTTGCCAGACACAAATATGGAGGTCTTTTACTGTGCCCATTTGGATGGGAAGCTCAGTACATGGCGACGGAAAGAGTGAGTGTCGTATGTTGACTTCACTTTGGATGAGCCTTTTGTTAGATGTGTTTATCTTAAAGCATATTGCTGAACCCTGACTGATGCTTAGTTTGTGAATTTCGTGTCAATTTTTCATGGTGTTGTATGCAATTAACAATCTGTGGCAATGTCTCCTTGTGTTTGAACTATTATCCTTCCTGTAACATCGTTTCTAAACGATTTTATGGAAATGATGCCTGCATAATGTTGATGGACCAACAGTAAGATAAACTTAACCTTCTTGTAGTATATAACTTGCTACCAAAAATTCGTGGTAGAGATTTGTGGTTTCAACAATTTTAATATATGGGCCTTTTTAAAGGTCCACTAGGTTCCACCAGGTTCCAGGAATAATAAACTGTGTGATGATTTTAGTAATATTGTGGCATCTTAGATCACAACCTTTCAATTTTATAAGATCTAATTTGAACCATGAGATAGGTTGATGTGAATAGATTGAAAGCTTTGGGTTAACATTGTGGAGACATACCTTTACAATTTCATTGCGTTTCGTAATACCTTTTTGTTAACTCAGTTTTACCAGGACTCATGTTATCATACTTGTTTGCGTGTTACTCAGGGGAGAGCAGGCGCACCTTATGTGTTCAGTGGATGAATTAATGCCATCAATTGGCACAACTGTTCCTTCTCCCTTACTTCTTGCAGTTGCCATCTCCCAATCGGATTGCACTCTCCAAGACATTCACAAGCTTTGTCCTGACATAGATTCACATGATCTGAATTTTGACAACTCTTTTGATTTCCTTGCCAAAACTTCAGTGATTTCTAAGACACATTTGATATCCATTTCGGATGATGGAAACGTGTGGAAATGGCTCCTCACTGCTGAGGGGCCTATGGACGGCCAGAGGGATAGAGAAAAGGTGAAAAGGGTTGATGAAGTATGTGAAGTTTCAGAACCCCTTGAATTTGAACGCAAATCAGAAGTTGTTACTGTCGATGAACATGCAACAAAAACAATGACACACTTATATGATACGAAAGGCATAGAGAACCGTCAATCCTGCCCCACTATTGTTGCTGATGAAGTGTCATTTAAGGTCTGTGGTTTAGTGAATCTTATATATATTAATAGTCAGAATTCCTTCAAGCAGGGTAATGCTCTTTGTTTTCTGCTGTTGGTACCTGTGATGTTTTGCAAGTCTGTTTTATCTCATGCATGTACTGATTGCCAAAATCATTATCCGGACCTTGATATTTCACTTCAATTGAGCAAATGTTGAATAAAATATATGCATCAAGTCTCTGAAGGTTTTTGCTTTGGGTCATGACTAGTCTTGGTATATGTCACGTTAAGCAGAAAGTTTTGGATTGTTCTAGAGAAGTATTACGTAATTCAATTTAGTTGTGATTGATTGTGATTTTCTTGTGGAAGGATATCTTAAGATTTAAGAGGCTCTAGGAATTGTTACTTTCTTTCGGTGGTATTATTATATTGTTGTTGTTGTTGACCTGTTGTGTTTAATTTTTAGGGGCCAGACTGTGATCTGGTGGGGAAGAATTATTTGAGAACAATTTGATTAACTTCACCATTTTCCAAATTTGTACTGGTATTTATGATTCTAATTCGCTATTACGAACTTGTCGACCTGCAAGGAGAAAAGGATACAGGACCTACATGTTTATTTTTTATTTTTAACTAAGAGATTACGTCCTATATCCTGCTTCTGTCTTCCCTATGAACATATTGTAATTTTATAGTATTAGTATTGCAGGTGAATCTAGTGGGAGAGGTCCATCTTTTGTCATCAGCTGTGTCTATGCTGGCTGTACCATCCCCATCATTGACAGCTATTTTGGCACGTGAGTGATCTTCCATTGTTTCCTGTAATTGTTAATCCCTTTTCTTATCCCACCTCTGGAAGGTTGTCTAATCTTTAAACCCAATGATAAGCTTCTCAAAAGTCCAGCACCAGTTTGTTAACTACTTATTTATGGACTGCATGAAGGTGGTGGAAACTCTCCTGCTGTTGCTGTTCCGCTAGTTGCTTTAGGAACACAAAGTGGCACGATTGATGTGGTCGACATCTCCGCCAATGCTGTTGCTGCAAGTTTTTCTGTTCACAGCAGTGTGGTCAGAGGATTACGTTGGCTAGGCAATTCAAGACTCGTTTCATTTTCTTATACACAGGTCTGAACAGTCTGAAGGCTGAAGCACTGTCTTTACTGGGAGATAGTAACAGCTGCTTTGTCCATACGATTTTTTTTTTTTACATTTTTAAGCAATCCCATTCACATCTCTTTGGTTCAATTTTGAATCTCTAAACTACAGCTTCAATTACAGTATCTATTTGTATATAGGTAACAGAGAAAACCGGTGGATATGTTAATAGGCTTGTTATAACTTGCTTAAGAAGTGGCCTTAATCGATCTTTTCGAGTACTACAAAAGCCAGAGCGAGCACCAATAAGAGCACTACGGGCTTCTTCTTCTGGCAGGTTTGCTGATTCCTTGGTCATTATTTGTGTTTACGTTTTATGTTTCTTTGAAATCCGTGATTCCATATCAACTGATATAAAATTGGTCTTTTGGTATATTTGTATGATTTCCTCCCCACCGCTTTCCTCATATACAGATACCTTAATAATATTACTCAGCAGAAATATTAACATATCTCAGTGTTGATATTCACTGTTTTTGCATAATTTTATTGGATTCATATTTTGTGAGAAATTATAAAAACTGAAAAGAAAAAAAAGGCTAAATTAAACAAAACCCCAATGATTAGTTATGATGTTTGGTTTGAGGAGATATTGTTTGACCTGGAATGGTGGTGTTGCTAGTGTCTGATGGATGGTTGGAGGTGGGAGTCTTGTTGGAGTTGGGTCTGATAGCCAGGGTCGTGGTTCCTCATTTGGAACTGGAGTACCAAGATTAGTTGACTAGGTGAAGTCATGATATTTCTGTTAGAGAAAATTGTGGAGGGCATTCTTACTGCAGGTTGATAAAGATCCAATATGGTGGAGAGCTAGGGCTGCTTGTTGGTTTAGATGGGAAAATATTTTGATCAGGGGTGGAAGAGTGTATCAGTGTAGAATGGAACACTGAGGATGGTATGAGTCTCTTTTCTTTCCTGTAGTAAGTATGCGGATTGTTTTTTTCTAGTACTAGTAAAGTGTACGTGCATCGCACGTGGTGTTGAATGTTTTTACCGATTAAATTTAATACAATTAATTAATTAATTCATTGAATGAAAACAAAGTAAAATATAGAACAAATAAGCTTCTAATATTTTTTTTAAAATAACATAATGATGTCATAATATAAATAGAATGAAATAACATTTACAACCCCAAGAAAAATACAATACATAATGGAAAAAACACCGAATGACTAAATAAGAACCTAATGCATATTATAGATGCATTAGTTATTTATCTAATTATGTTAGATGATTAGAGAGTGATTTTCTTTCATTTCGTTTTGACGTTTTCATAAGAAACATTCATAATCGTTGGAGCCCAATAAATCAATAGTACTTCAAATTCGTCTTAATTCATTTGGCAAAACGTCTACTTTATTCAAACACTTATAAATATTTTGGCTAAACATGTGGTCAAATTTCTTGATTGTATGATCTTTATAAGGTACTTCTATTCTACTAACAGTTCATGAATATCTTTGTAAAATAACCAACCGTATCATTAAATTGTTGGTATATAAATATATATATCATTGAATAAACAACTTCATTACTATGTCTATATAGAAAAATTGATACCTACCCCATGGAGGCATTGCCCCCACAAGGTGAAAATGAATTTCACCTCCAAATAAAAGTTGATTTTTCAAAATTTTGGTTACATGTATTTCTCTCGAGACGCTAAATTACTTTTTGAAGTCATTACATTACATGAAAGTACGTAATGTAAAATAAATGCACATATGTTCGAGCAAAACACATAATGAGATTGTAACTATTCCTATAAAAAAGGGACAATTTCATTCAACATTGAAGAATGTTCTGATCAGGCTTCGACATTTTTTTCAATGTTAGTTATTTAGAAGGCAAACGAACTATATAATCTATTGTTTGCAAATCATTGACCATTTTAGTTGCTGCAATTATTTTAGTGTTGTTTATCATATATAATATCTTTCACATTCGTTCAAATTTGCAATACTTATGTGTCTAATGACTTCTTTAATGATTTTATTGTACAATTTTTTCGCATCATACATAATGCTTCGAAAATTCAAGACAAAGATCTTTTATTAAACACAAAAGGAAACAAAAAACAATGAGACAATATTAAGAAGTATATCATTTGTTAAAATATTTGAGAAGAGAAGAATTAGAATTCTATTATATTATGATACTTTTAGCCTCTATGTGAACTTTATAATTTAAAGAGAAGCATTTATTTTGTACGCTTTTTTTATTTGTATGAATATTTCAGATCTATGTAAGCAAAATATAACACAAGTTTATTTTATGTTTTTTTCATATTTAATAAAATTTGTTTAACATGGATTTGTAATTTATTTTATAAGATACTTTTAGTCCATTTATTATTCTAAATTAGTATTGATATATATATATATATATATATGTATATATGTATATGTGTGTGTGTGTTTTATTTTATATCGATAAAAATAAGTATTTTATTTTATTTACAACACATTATTTAAATTAAAAGTCATTGGAAAGAAATGACGTGATATATTAAGTACAAAAAGAGTAATAAATAAATAAATATTAAGTATTTTAAAATTAAAAATTTTAATGGTAGACTAATGAAATTTGTAACTAAAAAAATTAAGGCTACCCTACTAAATATTTAGTGCCAAAAATATATATATTTTTATGTGCTTAAAAATTCTAGTTAAAATAAATATTCATCTTGAATATGTTATATTTTTCATTAGTCAGCTCAACCTGATATATGACATTAATTAATTTTATCACTTTTTTATTTATGGATTGATTGAGAGCTATATGTTTTCTCATTACCTAGTCTTACATTTTTATTACATAGAACACTATTCTTACCTCTTGTTTAGTTACCATAATACTACTAAAATAATCTAAGACTTTTCAACCTAGATGTATCTTGTTTGTTTTGAAAATGTTACTCATTATCATAAATTAAATGAAAAATTACATTAAATGTGTTATATTTTCTATCATTATCAATAATTTTCATAATAATTAGTTGCACGCAATATTATATTAACGTAAATTTATTTATTGATTTACAACCCTACTTTTACTACAAAAAATGATGAAATTTCACTAGAAAATTTCAACGAAAATATATTACAGTGCAATTAAATTTATATATAAATTAAAATAGTAAAAATAGAATAATATTATGCTTTTTATATTTTAATAATTAATATTATGTTCATCATGTCCAAATACATATATTATATCATGTGTTTTTTTATTATTTATTTTTTCCATCTATCCTACTTGATACTTTATTTTTCGAATAAGACATTTAAGTAGTTTTATATGTCATGTTATTTGTTTCATGTAAATTTATATAATTATGTTATATCAAATTTGTTTATTATGACATGTAGTTATGTAATTAGTAATATAAAAATAATATAAATTTAAAATTGTAACAAATTTATACTATAATACTTCATACTTAATAATGTATGTTGTGAAATTGAGGATAGTACATCCCCTACATTTTTATTTGTTCCAAATATATTTTGGAATATACTTTATATCAATTCAATCTTATTGAAATAGTTTTGCGTTTCCTTTATTAATTTCTCATTTATTGATAAGTTAATACCTTTTTTTACCTACTTAAATCTATTTTGTTTATGTTTTATTTTTTAAAGAGTTTTGTCCTTGTTAGAATCCTATTTATTGAAATATTTAATCGTGATTATATTAATTTAGACACTTAATGGTTATTACAATTTTTTCAATAAAAATAATACAAATATAAGGACGATTTTTAGTCCGTGCAATTTTTTACAAAATCATTCCTCCTTTTATATTAGTATATATATAGATATTTTCTTGATCCATAAAAAATAACCACATGTCTGTTAAAGTGTTGAATCATTTAATAAAGAAGCAATAAGGACCATTTTCTGTTTTTTCGTAATTGATGATTCATCGCATAATATTAATCACAGGTCGCATGATAACCCAATAATTTAACTTATTCTGACACAATACATTATCATATTTATTTTGTAGTTATAGTTATTAATTAATCTATCATGAAAAGTATTCTTTATCTTATTCTCTATTTATTAAGTCACAAAAATATTCTCAAATGTTTAGATGCACAATCCTAAATAATCATGAAATATTTATGATTAAAATGATAAAGAGTACCATTAAAATGATGAATTTATGATAAATAGTGTAGGAAATATTTTAGATGTTAATAAATAAAATGAATGATATTTAAAATACTTATTAAAATTATGATAGTCAACAATTATTTAATTTTTTATTTATTATTTTAGTTTTTTCTTATCCAATTCTCATACAATATTTCATTATTTCTAATGACACTTACATTGAATTTTCTATAATTCAATTGATAGTTTTTCAAAGGAAATTCATTGAATTTTCAAAGGAAATTCACACAAAAATAAATAATAGTAATTGGAATAGACAATGAAATTTTTAATAAAAGCTCTACCAATAAAATATCCATTGAAAATTTCAGTGGAATACCATACCGTTAGATTTTCATTGTAATACAATATTTTTTTATTCATTTTTACATTAAAATTTTTATGTTGTAATTTTTCTTATTAAATAATAGGTTTGTCAACGTGCTGGAACCGTGACTTTTGCTCCTTTCTCTTTTGCTCCCATTTTTTTTTTTTTTTTTTTTTTTTNNNNCTATTGTTTCTATTGAGTTTCATCTCTAGCCTACCCCAACTTGTTTGGGACTAAAAGGCTTTGTTGTTGTTGTTGTTGTTGTAAATAATAGGTTTATCATCAAACACTACTCTTGATACAACTACTTAGTGTAGAACGCAATCCTATTTAACCATTCAACTACTTTGATACAATCGTAATTGATACAACTTGTTAGGAATCATAATTTTAATTATTCAACTATTAGGAATCATTATATAATGAAGTTTTTTATTTGTTATTAATATAGATCATTTTTTAATTAAAAATATAATATAGGATGATTATTATTGTATTACTAATTTGCCATTAAAAATATGTCAAAGGGTGTTTTAGGCAACTCATATTTTTTAAACACTCGTCCTTTTAGAGTAGTATAGAATAGATAGATATAGAAAATAAATGAAAATCCTGTTCTTTGCTTCTTGATCTGGAATGGAGCTGTTTGTATGGCTTTTTTGAGGAGGGTTGTTGAGGCTGGGAGGCTAGTGCTTGGACATGTGGTTCCAACTGAATTCGGACGGGTAGCTTTGTCATTAGATAAGAAGTTAAAAGGTATCAAGATACTGGTTAAAACAAATTAATGGCTCTAGGTAGATAGAGAAGTAGCTGAACTGATCATAGTGGACATTAATGTAATCTTCTGATCAGTTCAATATCTCTAGGTAGGTAGAGAAGTAAGCTGAACTGATCATAGTGGACATTAATTTAATCTTCTGATCAGTTCAATCTCTGTATTTCAGTTTCTGGTGTCACCCTTGCTAATTCTGGTTTGGAGTTGTAACAGGGAGGTTTTAAGGTGTATGGGAAAGGCTGCTTTTTCTTTTCTATTTTTTTATTTTTTTTTTTCCTAGCTATACGTCTCAGTTGATTTTACACTTGAGTTCACTCGAAAGACCGCCTCATCTAGAATCTTTAAAGCTCTGGATGTGATGTTTGCACATAAATCTAGATTGATTTTAGCCTTGAATGTTTATTGGATGAACATTTAATTTAACTTAAAAAAAGCTGGATCTAAAAACATAAGCTGTAGAGTTCAATATCTTATTTGGCATGACCGGAGTACTATATTGATTGATGAATGAGTATTTTATCTGAAAGTCTGAGCCAAAATAAGAGAGATGTTAAATTTTCTTGTATGAAACAAGACAATAATTCCATATCCTCATTTAAGCAAATAGTTTTGATCAATTAATTAAGAAACTTATAATAAGTTGTCTTCCGAGAATTGTGGAAATTCATGAAATAAGGACTTCTACAATGTAGCTGTTAGCGTTTCCAAATAAGAACAAGCACTTTCCCTCAAGTACATCAAATGGATGTTGAATGACTTAAACAATTTTGCTATGATTTATTTCAAAATAGTAAGCAAACTTTAGCATACACTTACAAGTTTCATTTTTTTTTCTCCCATCTGGGTACATTTCAACTTCTTTGAAATTGTTTTTGAGATCCATCCTTCATATGGCTAAAAATTATTTCAGATATCTTTTGATAATGTTCCGGGATGCACCTGTTGAGGTCTGGGCTATGACAAAGACACCAATGATGGTTAGTATTCAATTATTTTCCTTTTTATCCCCCCGTTTTGAGTTGTGATATAATGGTTGTTCTCTCTTCCTTCGTGGATGATATAGTTCAATTCAAATTTGACTATATTTTAAGGTGTATCAAGAGGTGTCATTAAACAATACGCATTCATTAAAGTGGTGTAAAAGTAAAAGGGAGAAAAACTTAATTTTAGGTGCAAGATGACGTAAGAGTGTGTTTGTTTGCAAATATACCAAAAAAAAAAAAAAAAAATCCAATCTCAATTCAAAATTTAACTCAACTTTAACCTAACCATACTATCCTCAATATTATTAATATAATTAAATAAATAATGTCAGTCATTCATACATATTACATCAACTTTAATTCACTACTAGTACAGAGCCCGTGCGATGCACGAGGTATACAATTTTGAGGCCATATATCCAGCCTTATAATTATATAAATGAATAAAAAAGATGTACGGGATATATATAGTACGTGAACTGTGCGAGACATGGAAACTATTTATTTGAGGAGTATTAAATTTTAAGATATAATATTCAATAAAAGTTGTACAATACACAGAAAAATTGTACAGTAAAATAGTATTGAAAAAAGAAACAGTCATATATTATTCAAGACCTCCTTATACACAACATTATGAGTTTGATTTTTGGGTAGCTCCTCATTCTCACAAACTAATATCTTCAACCCCCTTCTATTAGTCACACGCGAAACAGCAACATATAATTGACCATGACTAAAGACAGGCTTCTTTAGAAAAAGACCAACGTGGGATAAATAAAAATGGCTATCAGATACTTAAAATAAAATTATCAACTTTATGCCAAAATTAGATTTATTAATTTTGTCAACTTTATACCATGAATTAATTAAGTATTTTCTACACGTCATTTCTACATTTTGTCCAAAATATTTTTTAGCGGCACATAAATGTTATTTATATTTTTGTATTTGGTTATCTTGTCTACGAAGAAAAAGAAAGTCTTGCAACTCTACTATGCCAACAAAAAGATGTATGAAAAATAACATAAGTATTAATTTATTATGTTTTACTCAATACAAGAAATATAATATAGATATAAAGATTAACGTTTAATTCTCTATAATTGTTCAATCAAGTCTATATATTTAAACTAAAGATTTCGAAAGTTTGTATAATACCCTCATATTTGTTTCCATAAAACTATATCATCCTAAATTTAAATTCAACTAATAAAGGTAATAACCATAAATATTTGACTAAAAAGATTATGTACATTAATTACATTGAATTTTGTTAATTTACTATTTTTAGACAATAATTAATGAAATTGGCGGGAAAGTTAAAAGTGAATTATGTTAATCCTTATTATATATTAATAGATTCATCAACTCACATAATTTGAAGTACCCATCTCTTCCAATAATCTATATCTTACTTTTACATCAAATCAATATGAATCATGTTATTTTAAATATTATTTTAATACGAACTTAAAATTCCACCAACAATTAACCATACCACTTTTTGAAAATTAACCATGGTTAACAAAAAAAAAAAAAAAAAAAAAAAAAAAAAAATCAAATACCAATATATTTGTAAACAAGCAAGCCGTAATAAATTTTCATTTGTTTGCCTTGAGGAATTATTAGAGAACTGAGATTCTATTTAGCTGTAATGGAAGTATGGAACTGTAGAAATATGTGCCAACTTCTGAATTATTTTCATTGAATCCTCCGAGCTCAATGCCCACTTTTAATAATAAGTTTTCTTTTTATAGTTGAAAAAGAAAACTTCTATGCTTTAATGCTTGTTACTTCTTTCAAGCTTTACTATCTGTAAGGGTCAAAATTTGTAACTTGATCATGCAGCTAAGGTCATTAGCACTTCCGTTTACCGTTCTTGAATGGACTCTTCCAACAGTTCCAAAGCCATTGCAAAGCAAACCTTCAAGGACCTCTTCCTTTTTATCCAGAGATCGTGCTAGCACTCCCGTAACTGCGACCTCATCTCCAACTAAATCGTCAACAGATGCTAGTAAACAATTTTTGCTTGAACTACATTCTTTGTTGATTTTACAACTGTACTTCGACATAGCACATTCTTTGTTGATTTACAACTGTACTTCGAGATAGCATTTGTTTTCCCTGACATTTACATGCAGAGTTCTTGATTTGAATTGTAGAGGAATCAGCAGAAGGATCCCAAGATGAATTTTCAGAGAGCTTTGCATTTGCTTTGGTGAATGGTGCAGTTGGAGTATTCGAGGTCCATGGACGAAGAATCCGTGATTTCAGGTGTGCATTTACTTGTTTTGTTAGTTATAAACAATCTGTTATAATCAAATTCATTTTTTTTTATTAGAGTTTCAGTCTAGGAATATAGATATGAATAATTTGCTTGATCTATAATTACAAGACATTTTGGGGCAGAGATGTTTATTTGAAATTCTTTGTTGCTGAGTCGATACGTATTATGGGGAGGACCTATCCGGACGAGAGGAGGTGATGGGGAGGAATGGCCTTTGAACGAGTCTCACAAGAAATCTTAACTCTTCTTTTTAAATTCTTTTTTCTTTATTTTACTTCTTTCCTTCATTTATTTACCATAAATTACTTTAACTCATCCCTTTTTATATTTTGAAGTTATATGATTTAATTCCTTTACCCACTCCTAAAAATCTTACCTTAATTCTCATCCAATTACTTTAATTCTTAATATTATTACTTAATTATGCTCAAGGATAATAATAATTATAAAAATTGAAAAGCCATACTTATTTTTTGGTGATGAAATAAAATAAAAGAAATCTATTTAAAATAATCGGTTATTTAAAATAACAGGGCGCTACATCTTTTATGCCCAAACCCTCTTGGTTCAACACCCGTAAACTCTTGCCCCCCTCTTTTTTTTTTTTTTTTTTTTTTCCTTATTAGAGTAGAAAATTTACAAGTTATCCCCAGTTCCAAATTTTGTTTTGGCCTTCTAATTCAAATAAAGATTTTCTCATCAAGACAAATGAAAAAAACTTCATTTTCTTACAGCAATTGAAAAAATGATCAAAAACCGGTTTGGCAACCAGTTAGAAATGAAGTTTTAATGCAAAAAATCCTGATCCTGTCGTCTACTCGCCATTGACTTTTCAAAATTATGTCATGCCCTTCTGCCTCTTCAGTTAAATTTCCTGGTTTGCCCCTGCCAACCCTTGTTAGTTATACTTCAGTTTTATTAAAATCTGTTCATATTATATTCTTCAATAGCTTATCATGATACTTGAATCTGGTGGATCCATGTTATCGGAACATATCATGAAAATGCTCCGTATCGTGATATCTCATATTACTTTCTCACTATTTCAGACCCAAATGGCCATCATCTTCTTTTGTTTCCTCTGACGGACTGATTACAGCCATGGCTTATCGTTTGCCTCATGTGGTATACCATTTCACTGATTCTTAAGTTCCAGTTTTCAATTCTTTGGGAAGCTTTCATAAGTGAAGTTCTGCATTCCCATTTCAGGTAATGGGAGACAGGGCAGGGAACATACGCTGGTGGGATGTAACAACTGGGCAGTCATCCTCATTCAACACTCACAGAGATGGTATTAGGAGAATCAAGTTCTCACCAGTTGTCCCTGGAGATAGTAGCCGCGGGCGCATTGCCGTGCTATTTTATGACAATACGTGTTCTGTGTTTGATCTTGTGAGCTCATTTCACTAGTTTCATCTTCTACCTATGTGTATGTTAATTGTTCATGTATCTCAAGTTAAAGATGACAACCTAGAGAAGGTGATATTTATATTTGTAAGTGTATATAGAGATATACTACCATTCTACCAACTTCACCTCTGTTCAAGTTCCTTCACCCGAGGTGTTGGATTAGGAGAGTACTTTGTCTCCAATTTTATATATGAAAGATTTCTCACGATACTCCTACGGGGAATGTAAAATAATTAGTCAACTTTTTTTATTTGTAGATCTAGGATTGTCCGGCGCTCAGATTTTAAGATTTTGCAATTTGCAGGATTCAGCTGATCCATTGGCTAATTCCCTTTTACAACCACAATTTCCTGGAACTTTAGTACTTGAGCTTGACTGGCTACCATTGCGGACAAACAAGGATGATCCTCTGGTACTGTGCATTGCTGGAGCTGATAGCAGTTTTCGTCTTGTTGAACTTAATGTGTATGTCCATTGGTTCCCTAATTTTGCTACATAAAATCTCATCTTATAAACTGCTTCAACAATTTGTTTATGTACCTTAAGAGTAGGGTGCTAGAAGACTACATGGTTATGTTCTAGGACAGTTTTACTATAAGCTTCCTTACATCGAAAATTTGGATCTCTCACTTGTTTGGAGTGTGACCATCAAGTATCTGTTTAAAAAATGGATTGGTCAACTCCCTTCTCACCAAAGACATTTTCTTTGAAAAATAGAATTGAAATAATGGTGTGACAGCCACAAGGTTCCCACCACTAATACTTTGAAGGCATATTTGGAATCTTTGTTGGGATTAGTTCCCTTTCCTTTCCTATTCAATATTGCTGAGTAAATATTTCATTTATTTCCTTTAGCATAAAATAAAGAGATGCATTTAGGAAGTGTGAGTATAAAGTTTGGTGGGACCTACTACAAGTTACTTTTATATTTTAAACTTCTTGACAAAACATGATGACCTTCAAAGTCAATTTTCTATGCATGCAGAAGTGACCAAAAAGTGGGAGACTTCGGTTTGCAAACACGAAATAAAGAGAGATTTCGGCCCGTACCTTTGCCATCCCCTGTATTGCTCCCTGTACCACATGCCCTGGTATCTTCTGAAACATGACTTTAAAGCAAATTAGAGAAGAAAATATGGTACCATTAACTTTTTTTTGTCTATGGGTGTTTTATTTTTGTTCTACATAATGTTTACAAGATACCGATAATGCTGGTGCAATAATATATGTATTCTGGGAATCTTTGACCATGGAAGTTAAACTTATGAAGAGTGGTTTGCCATAAACTACTTATTTTGAATGCTTTATTATGCCCAGGCATTGCGGATGATTTTACAGTTTGGCGTGAAACCTTCGTGGTTTCATGTATTCACTTCAACTGCTATTGAGGAATGTTCACATATCCCAGGAACCCCGTCATCCGGGGATCTCCGTGGTTATATGGTGGATTCACTATATATTGGTGACTCTGCTGTTCCGGAGATGCTTCTTAAAGTATTAGAGCCTTACCGTAAGGAAGGTGCGCTTCTTTCCTGTCTAGACCTGATAGAATATAATTTCACAATTTACATCAAAAACTTATAATTTTTCTTTTTGTTCCCAATGTAAGGTTGCCTGCTTGATGATGAGAGATTAAGACTATATGGTAAAGTCGTTCATAAAGGCTCCACATTGAGGTTGGCATTTGCAGCTGCCATCTTTGGTGAATCCATGGAAGCGCTTTTCTGGCTTCAGTTACCTAATGCTCTCAACCACTTCATGAATAGATTGGTTAAAAGACCATCACAAAAAGGCCCTCATGCAGCTCAAAATCCTGAAATTGATGAGGAATCTATGTTGAGCAGGATATCTTCAAAAGGAAAATCAGTGCCTGGATCGGGGGGGCAAAAGAATGTTTTGGTTGGTTAAATATGAGTGATAGATTTTATCAAATTAGTTTTTACGCTGTCCAAAATCTCTTTATGACTGACCACGCTTTTGTATGGGAAAGAAAGTTGTGATGGCCAATGGTCATTGTAGATGTTTGCTGTGATTGAGAATTCCTTGTATATGACTTTTTCTCCGCGCAGGTTAATTGTCAACTTAAATTGATGGCTTTTGAACAGCAAGAATTGTGGGAGCGTGCTAATGAACGTATTAATTGGCATGAAAAATTGGATGGTGAAGAGGCAATACAGAACCGTGTGCATGAGTAAGTCTTTCCTCAAAATTATTGTATGTCACCTGTGGAACATGTTTTGTGGATGGAAGGTGGAACAATGGCTTTGTTGTTCGAGAGGAACATATTTCATTGAAAGCATTGCCTCTACTGTCTGGAGATGGAAGATTCAGCTTCAACAAATCCACGTTAGAGTTCGATGTTTCTGTTTTATCGGATTCACAATATTGATAATTTATATGTAGTTATTGTATTCATGCGTCCAGTAAGTCTTTAGAAATGTGGATGACATTCATTTGTGGCGCGCTCGTTGTGGTTAAGTTTATTGTGTCACCGTGAAGTTACTGATCATTTATAACTTCCTTTTACTTTTCAGAAATAGATGCTACTGTTTAGGATCAACAATCAAATACTTAGGTGCTGATGCTTCTGTCAAAGAATAAAAAAGTGAAAATGGAAACCCATCAGGTCTGCGGTATATACTGAAAACCCAGGAAAATCCTAAATTACAGAAAAAAACTGTAGGCTTGATTCCATTTACATTTCTTCCTTCCACAAGCGGAAAATATATGATGTTGCCCCTTATGTTGATTAAAGTATTGCGGTTTCACCTTCAAATTTGAGGCAGGCTTTAACCTCAGGGTGCTTCGTCCAATTTTGAAGCTACTTGGTTTCTCTCTGACATTGTCAAATCTCACAGTTGGATTTTGTCATATCCCTCCTTCAACTACACACTGATAGTAGGATGGCCAATTTTGTCTCCTTTTTGCTTATCAGCAATCAGTAATCACTATCTTAGTAATGATTACAGTGTCTCAAAAGAATTTAACATGGGATCTTACTGTTACATACTTGTAGCAATCCCCTTTGCCATGATTGAATGCTTCTTATTTTGAGCTTCCGAGTAATGCCCCATTGCTTTTTAAATGTGACTGAATTGGTGAAATTGATGTAATATAGGCGTCAAATTTAGGCATTTTGCATGGGAGCATTCAGTTGACACTCTTTTGGTTCCCATTTTGCCTCATTATCCTCTAAAGTACTATAGCAAAAGTCATTTGTTCCTTCCTAAAAGGTTATGGTCAGTCACTGTCTATCAAGGCCCAGCTCTGATATCCTGCAATGATCTAGTAGGATTCTGAAATATTTTATTCCCAATCAATCTTTCAACTCGATGGCTTATGCTATCACTTTGCTGCACCAAATAATTATTCATGTTTTATTGTATCATATTCGTCCTCTAGAAGCTACTTTATTGGGGTACTGTATAGTGTTGTTGTGATGTTCATCTTGCTTATTCTATTATCTTTACTCTGTGATCAGACTTGTGTCGGTTGGAAACTTAGAAGCTGCTGTAAGTTTGCTCCTCTCTACTTCTCCAGAAAGCTCTTACTTCTATTCAAATGCTCTGCGAGCTGTTGCCCTTGCCTCTGCTGTATCTTCTTCTCTACTTGAACTGGCTGTGAAGGTACTTGTTTCTTTGAGTTTCTACATTTCGATTAAATTATACGGTTTATTCATCTACTATTTGTCTGTAGGTTGTTGCAGCCAATATGGTCAGAAATGATAGGTCAATGTCTGGCACACATCTGCTTTGTGCAGTAGGGAGGTATCAGGAAGCTTGTTCCCAGGTATAGTTTTATCTTGCACATCCGTCTTACCAATGTGTAGTAGGAATGTACAATGAACTACTTCCATAGTGCCACGATCTATATATCAAAATCAAACAAATGAAAACCTGTACTTAAGATTGGGGTATATTCTCTTTTGCCTTTTCGGATGCGTCATTTGATAATTTCTGTCCTGTAAGTTATTGATTTTTTTATTTTTTAATTTTTTTTTCCAGTTTCCTATCTAGTAGTTCACATTTTACAGAAAGCTCAGTTTCTTTATGATGAATCATAATGTGATTTGTAAATGAATGGGCCAATATGTATAGATTGATGTAACTCTGGCACATGTGAGTTGATATAGATTTCTGTCATTGTGATAAACTTGAATTTGTACTTTTTGTGAGCGGGTTTACAGCCTGAGCCAACTGCGAATGTTTGTGAGCGGGTTTACGGCTCAGTCAATGAGGGTCTTATGAAATACGAACCTAGGTGGTTGACCCTCGGTACATTTTTGGCCAGTTTACATTGTCATAGCATTTGATTACGCTTGTATGTTGGATAGCCCCAGACATGGAAAGTAGCACATGACCTTGTTTGACTGTTCATTTATAATCCTTGTCTAACCTAGTAGCTCCATGTTAACATCAACTTCATTATAATCAGCTATGATTATTGTTTTTGCAAGAAATGATTTCAGAACAACTGTGATCTGAAATAGGGTCTTTTCTGGTTTGCTTCCTCACATGTTTGTCAACCATTATGCAGTTACAGGATGCAGGATGCTGGACTGATGCTGCAACATTGGCTGCAACACACTTAAAAGGATCCGATTATGCAAGGTTATGCTTTTTTCTTATTTTTTGTTACCAAATAAAAGTCTTCATTGTTTTATGTCGTATCTAAGTCAATTTTACATAATCATTCTGTCATTTGCACTACTACAATGCTATGGGTTATACTCAACTCAAATATCTGCACCATATCACATGACATTGGGCAGCGTGCAAGTTTATCTCCTGTGTAGTATAAATAATACAGAAAGTATGTACTCTTGTACCTTAGAAACCTCCAAAGTAGTAGATTATCTAGATACTGCTTTCTGACCAACAATGCCATGAGAATTATCACTCGCAACTTGGTAAGCGTTGTTGTGTGATTAGTTGCCAAAATTGACTCTTCATGTATTGTTTAGTCCTATCCAGCATCATTCTTCCAATACATGTTCTTAATTCCACTTTCTATGGACACGAGTAGAGTAAATTATAATTTTAGTCCTGTATGTTTTACTACTATATAACTTTTTTGTCCCCTTCGAATTGATTTTTGTTTTTTGTCCCTGGTGTTTGCAAAAAGGTTACAAAAAGGTCCCCGAGCATACATAAGGGACGAAATTGCAACCTTTTCTGCAAAACATAAGGGACGTTTTTGTTGCGAAAAGGACATTTTTGTAACATTTCTACAAACATAAGGGATTAAAAAAAAAAAGCAATTCGAAGAGGACAAAAAATTACGGTAGTGAAACATATAGGACTGAAATTGCAATTTACTCCATTCATTAATGAGTTTTGGGTCCTAATATTCATTCATTTGTGTGATAATTTTGATTCACAGGGTGTTACAAAGATGGGCAGAACATGTTCTTCATGCTGAACATAACATATGGAGGTATCAACAACCTTGCAATGCAAGAGTATCCACTAATTTTGGACAATCTCTCTCTCTGTTGTATTTTATATATTGGATTAATAAATGTGTGTGTGCACTGCATTTGCAGGGCCTTGATTTTGTATGTGGCAGCCGGTGCACTGCAGGAAGCTTTAGCCGCACTTCGGCAGGCACAGCTGCCGGACACTGCAGCCATGTTCATTGACGTTTGCCGTCAAATCCATTCAGAATTTCTGTCCCGACTGGATTCTGACGAAGACGAAGATACTTGTCTAAAGGAGAAGGTTATCGACTTGCCTGGCCTTAACCCTGCAAATGAAGATGTCGTTGCCGTCGCCGAGTATTTCGGACAGTACCAAAGGAAGCTAGTGCATCTTTGCATGGATTCTCAGCCTTACACCGACTGACCAATGAAAACAGTTTTACCGAACAATGATAATAATATTAGTACACATATACATACATATAGCTAATATCCAATCCAGAACTGCTGCCTCAGGTGATGAAAGTTTATCCACATATATATGTTGTTTATTACATTTTTTGTTTATTCTTTTACTTTGCTTTAATTATTTATTTATTTATTTATTTATTTTTCTTGGCTAGTCTAGATTTACCATAATTTTCGAACGGGAAAAAAATGTTGTTTTGATACCCTAACTATCCCCTCTTCACTTTTTATACCCTATCTGTTCACTTAATCATTTTACTTACCCTAATGTTTGGTCCGTCCTTTAGTTTTGGTACTTGTCGTTGGTCAGTTGTATTTGACTAAAGGCTGACCAGTTACAGACTTATAGCAGGTGAAAAGATCAGCGGGAAAATTCACTTTTGGTACTCGAGGTATACCACATTTTCGCTTTTAGTACCTGAGTTTCCAACTTAATCAGTTTTGGTCACTAAAATTTTCAAAATTAATCGTTTTTGGCCCAAAACTTTAAAAAAACCAGTTATAGTTGATGGTCGTCGCCGTTTCTGGTGGCAAATCTCAACAAGTTATATATTATTTTGAAGCTCTCGACTCGACCTAATTAACGGTACCTTTTAGTTTATCATAGGATACAAAAATCGTTGTTAAATGTTCAAAAAAAAAAAATAAATAAATAAATAAAATAATTGGCTAAATTGTGCCTCAAAGTTTGACTGAGTGAATCTAAAGATCCGACATTTGGATTTTCATGAAAATTATACGTGTAAAATATATAATTTTCGTTGAACCCAAAGGTATATTCTGATAGTAAATTGAGGGACTCATTTGCTAGAGATAATCGATGAAGTCTCCAATTTTTTCCAGCCGCAATAAGTCGCCTGAAAATTGGAAACTTCTACGGCCTGCATTCAAAGATCCTGAGAATTGGAAACTTCTACAGCCTACATTCAAAAATCGAAAGAAAAAATAAGTTCTCTTCAAATCTCTTCTCAAAAGTCAAGAGTTAAATGGTGAGAAATTCGCGAAAATTATTTAATAATTTTACATAAATAAACATAGCCCGGCGGTTGCAGCGGACTAAGCTAGCGTCACACGGTTTGAGAGATGAAGAGCCGGTGGTTGAATAATCTAATGTGAGCACGAAAGATGAAGAGTCGACATGTTTGAGGGATGAAGAGTCAAACGGTTGAATGATTCAGAGTGAGCACGAGGGATGAAAAGTCGGTGTGCAATTTCTTTTGCAGGATTGCCCTTTCTTTACAGGATTTGGGACGGACAGTCACCGGGAACTTACCGGGCAATTAGTCACAGTGACCTTTTTCTCTGGCGATCTCCATATATAAGCCGAAGAAGTTTTCGGTTTTCCACCGAGTGTTGCGGCTGAGAAAATTGGAGACTTTGTCGAACATACTCGATTTACGATCAGAATATACATTTGGATTTCACAAAAAATAAATAAATTATATTCTATATATGTATAACCGAGTGTTGCGGCTGAGAAAATTGGAGACTTTGTCGAACATACTCGATTTACGATCAGAATATACATTTTGATTCCACAAATAAATAAATAAATTATATTCTATATATGTATATATATATATATATATGTGTGTGTGTGT